AGGAAGGAAGGAAGGAAGAAGAAAGAAAGAAAGAAAGAAAGAAAGAAAGAAAGTGGGCATTTTAGCACTTCTGGTTCCATCGCTCTTGCAAACCATTTCAACTCAAACTTTCAGGGAAAATGTTTAATGTTTTTAAATAAAGATTGAAAGCGTTTTCCAAAGCTTAGTGATGGTGACGTTGAAGTCATGCGACTGTGGTGTAGTTTGTTTATAGCTTTCATTTAGCTGTTTACTTCTGGTGATTGTATTTAGACTTCAAAATTCATAAAAGTTTTCTTCATTTGGTTTGTTCTTTTTGTTCAAGATCATCATAATGAACAAAACATATAAGAACCATAAGCTTTTTGGGTCACAAATGTTATTTTCTACAATAATCCAAAAGCCACTGGGAAAATCCTATTGGATTTTTGCTGAAAGAACTAGGGTGATGGTAACTAAAATACATCATTACTGCAGCTACATATAGTTGTTCATTTAAATTAAAGGGGTCATATGACGTTGCTAAAAAAATAACATTATTTTGTGTATTTGGTGTAATGAAATGTGTTTACGCAGTTTAAGTTTCAAAAAACACATTATTTTCCACATACTGTACATTATTGTTGCACCTCTATGCCCCGCCTTTCTGAAACGCATCGATTTTTACAAAGCTCATCGTTCTGAAAAGCGCGGTGTGCTCTGATTGGCCAGCTATCCAGTGCGTTGTGATTGGCCGAATACTTCAAGCGTGTGACGGAAATGTTACGCCCCTTACCAGGTTCAGGAAACTTTCCTTCGTAAAATGCGCTGCACACACTCAAATATTTGGGTTGTACTGTTCTGGGACAGAGTTGTAAATAAAACTTAACCACTGATTTCTAGTTGTGTTCTCTTTTAGAAGGCCAAACAAAGTAGTCTGGCTTTCGCAACGAAACACACAGCGTCTCCAAGATATGGCGGCAGCAACAATACTACAGGTGGGGGCGTGTTTGAACGAGGCGTTTTAGGAAGGCGTGGCTGAGCGTTCACTTTTATAAAGAATATCTCTTTGGGTTTGAGACTTTAATCTTTGCGACTTTACGGCTCTTCTGAATGCACGAACAGCTTTTAACACTCCAAAGACAAGGGAAAACATGAAATCGCATCATATGACCCCTTTAATTAAACAATTAAATATTCATTACTATTTAACGACTATATATCTTATAAATTAATGTTGCTAAACTAATCAAAACCTATACAAACTAATAACTTACAGGCTTAGCCTGCCTTTTAGCTTGAACCTATTCATTGCTGCCTGCTTGTTTGTTTGTTTAATTATCTGTAATTTTCTTTTTCATTACCAAAAAATCTGATTCCTGCTGTGCACTAAAATAAATTACTGGAGCCCTATGTCTAAAAACAAATGATCATATTTCGTAAACTCACCATAAATGTATGAGACTCCAATCAGTTCGAATATGGCAATGATGACCAGAGAGTAAGAGGCTGCAAATGTGTCCACCAGCTGAAGCATGTACATTCCACTCTGTGCGTGAAAACACACACACACACATATGCACACTTTAAAATTAAAATAGATGAGTCCTAATCTAAAAATCGCCCAGTGAATCACTTTAATTAAAAACAAAAACAAACTAACTAACAATCATTCTAGACCTTTCCAATTATTTGCTTTCGGAATTCCATTGCAATCTATTTACTTTCCTGTTTGTTTTTTTATTGTTTACCAGAGAGCTACTTTAATTAAAGTGTCCTATGAAGGTAAAGTTTTAGCAGTTAGGAATAAGAGTAAATTTCCTACCTCGGTGATCATGGGGAAACCCAGCACAAAAAAGGACAAACAGCAAACCAAAGTGAACTGAGGCTTGTGTTTGCGCAGGTACTTGGGGAACTCATCAGAAACAGATGTCACTATAGTTTCTATGGTGGCAAACTGGAGAGGAATGAAAGTGTGAACGAAAAGCGATTCAGTTATTTATTGTGTTTTATTCTGTAATCAAATTACAACCAAAGAAAAAACTGTAAATCATACAATTTATGATTTCCATTACCATGGTATCCAGACCAAGTGTAAGCAGCATGAGGAAGAAGATGATGGCCCAGAATGGTGACAAGGGCAGCCTAGTCAGAGCCTCTGGGTAGACCACAAACGCAATCCCTGGACCTACACAAAAAGACCATATTAACAAACCAGACTGATCATATGCCTTTTAGGTCTGATGATAGAAAAACAATGACAATGTGATGAGTTTTGTGTATCTTCACTAAAAACAAAAAACAAATCAGACATCATAGCTCATCAGCCAGAAACGCATGCATTCATACTACATACCTTCATCTGCCACACTCTCAATCGGGACTTTGAGCTCATGAGCCATGAAGCCAATAACTGAAAAAATGACAAAACCAGCAAAAATACTTGTGGCACTGTTAGTGCATGTCACAATGAGAGTATCCCTGTAAAACAACAGAGACAGAGCACATCATGTAATCTCACATCATAAATCATTTTCATAAGACAGATGTTATTTTGAGCAGATGTGTCTATTGAATGTGCACAATGCCAGTTACTTTTGCAGTTTTAGTTTTGAAATGAATATGAAAGAATAACATTATTATATACTCTTGATTACAGTGACTCATTTGTTTACATTTGATAATTCAAATATTATACAGTACTGCATTAATTTGATAAAAAATACAATAAAAATAGTAATATTGTGAAATATTATTGAAATTAAAAAAAATCTATTTTAATAGATTTTAAAGTGTGATTTATTCCTGAGACAGCAAAGCTGAATTTTCAGCATCATTACTCCAGTCTTCAGTGTCACATGATCCTTCAGAAATCATTCTAATATGCTGATTTGCTGCTCAGGAAACATGTATTATTATCAGTTTTTAAAACAGTTGTGCTGCTTAATATTTTTGTGGAAAATGTGATACATTTGCACATTTTACATTTCTTTGATGAATAGAAAGTTCAAAATAATAGCATCTACTTGAAATAAAAATCCTTTGTAACCTTATAAATGGCTTTGCTTTCACATTTGATCGATGCAATGCATCCTTAATTATTGGTTATTGGTTTAATTATTTAATTAAAAATTGTACTGCCCCCCTAACATTTGAACAGTAGTGTATTCTAAAGTGACAGCACTGGTTACCTGTAACAGTTGTTATGGAACTTATTGTAGGACGACAGAGTTATAAGACCACCCCATGCTGCAGACAGAGAGAAGAAAATCTGTGTAGCAGCATCCTTCCACACCTACAGTTCAAGTGAAAGAGAGAAAGAACCAAAGATAGACAGATGGAGAAAGAGAAATAAGATTAATTCTGGAGGACAATATATTAAATATTGTATCATCAAATATAATAAATAAAAATACACCATTCTTTTTATTACCTTGGCATCATTAAGTTTTTCCCATTTGGGTGTTATGAAGTAAAGGATCCCTGAACCGGCTCCGGGTAGAGTGACCCCTCGGATCAACAGGATGACCAACACCACATAGGGGAATGTGGCAGTGAAATACACCACCTGAAAAAAGACACGTATACAATATAAAATGAAAAACAGTTATCACTGAAAGAGAATACTACTCTTTAGCAATTTATCTAAGGAAAAAAAACTGCCAATCTTTTGCTTATCTTACAGCCTTAGAAAGCATTATTAACCCATCTAATACTTCTTGTGCCAAATTAACACACATTTACTTTGTGACATCAGTATTATTTCCACTTTTTTGCTGATTACTTACAGTTTGTGTACTGTCTACACTAGAAAGTTCTGTAAAAATACGGCCCAATGTACTATGTTAAAATGAAGGAAAATGAATGCTTTTCACTGGACCAGAGAGAGGCCTGCTATACACTTCTCTCTTACCAGTTAGAGAAGAGAAAGTAAGGAGAGAAAATAGTCAACCTGTTTTCTTACCTTCCCTGAGGACTTGATCCCTTTAGCCAAAGAGGCATAAACAATAAGCCAGGCCAGTAAAAGACAAGCAGCCAGTGGCCAACGGATGTCACCTGGATATTCAATACCCTTCGAAATATGCAACACATTATACCTGTCAAGAAAGCAGAGTGATTAGCATCCATTTAATCTGCAAAGTTACACATACACCACCTCTAAATACATATCACTGGAAAAGCACACTTACTTGAAATATTCCTCACTAGGGCTGACATAGGTTTTATTGTCCGCTGTGATATTTAACAGTTTACTTAAATTCCCGACAGCATTCGCAGATAAACAGAATGTAGTGTTCTTGATTGATGTGATGTTTCTGTCCCTTAGTATACAGGAGTCTGGCCAGAAGAAATAATGAAAACTTGGAATGAACGTGAAAAAAGTCCCTGTTTTCCATCGTCATTCACTGCCTAGTTGAGAAACATTCTTTAAACAAATTAAGTGCACGAAATCAATCAAACGTCGTACAAATAGGCCTACACAATTCACACACAACTGCAATACTGTACACAATTTGATTCAGTCGGTGGTAGTGGCGCTACTCAAACAGGCCACGAGGTGGCAGTGCATCTCACTGCGGCACTGCACCAACTCTTACAGTAAATTTGTCAAGCAAGCAGATTTTCTGCTGAATTCACCAAAAGCACGACATTGAGAAAAGCGTTTTAAAACGAATTCAAACGTAAAAATGTCCGAAAATTAAATCAAATGCATAATAAAGCACCAGAGATTTTATTCAAATTAGATTTTAAGATAAACTCATTCTGAAATGAGAACTCATTCTCATTTCACTAATCGCACGTTTCAGTGTGACACAATAGTCCTAAATGAAATAAAAACACAAAATCTATTAATTTTGCATGATGGTACTAAAATGCAAAAGAACTTGATTTTACAGTTTCTGTAGCTGATAAAAAAATCTGTCAAGTCATCAAAATAAAAACTTTTGGCTTAATGAGGAGAAACAGTTGTGTTTGGGGTATAAAGAGAGCAGGATGACACTGAATAACCTAAATTGAGCGGTAGGCTACTTAATTCCTGAAATCCTTAAATACAGGTTGCGCATTGCGCATTTTAGTTAGAAAAAGGGGTGCCGCACAGAGAGAGAGAGAGAGAGAGACGCTCATCCTTACCCAAAAGCAGCATGTCTTTGTCTTTGCACTCGACGGTGTTCCATTCATTTTTACAGGTGGCCCATGGCAGTGTCTCCTTCAACGAAGCGAACAGGTAGTACAATGTCCAGCACATAATAATATTATAGTATATGGCTATCAAGACAGATATTATCAACATGGCAATCCCGCAACCTATAATAACAAAATGAAACCAGATAATAGAAATTACACTTAAAGCAGGCGGAAAGTCGATTACCATTTCACTGGAAACACTAATGTAACACATTAGCAAAAACATTGCTCATTATAACGGCGGATCAATTAATAAAGTAACGTCAGTTTACCTTGTAAAGCTGGAATCGCTTTCCATACTGACACCGGGCCTTGGCTGGCGAACTGACCCAAAGACACCTCCAACAAAAATATAGGTATTCCGGCGAGGCTTAACATGATTAGGTAAGGTATCAAAAACGCACCTACAAACAGAGAGAACACCCACTGTTGAAAAAATGCATGAATCATGAGTAATGCGTATTTTTAAAAATGTGAACAATAAACCTATTAATGTTTGAATTTTAGATTTTGTATTTTTTTAAATTAAAATAAACATCTAATATAGTGCATAATATTATTTTATAATATAACAATAAGATAATGTATAACAAACACAATAAATATTAAATACAATGCTAAAATAAAATAACATCTATACACTAGAATGTGTATAAATATGACCTAATAATAATCTTTCGTTGTCCTTATAATTCGTACATTAAACTAAATTCCATGCAATCATAAAACGAATTTTAAATTTTATAACAGAAAATAAAATTGCCTCTAACGAAAGTTTCTATGCGTGTATTATTACACATTGACATTCCGGACTTTTAAACTACTCGTTCTCGATACAAATCGATCTGTAGTAAAAACAAAAATATTTCCTAATATTTTCTAGTATGCTGTCCCTTAATTATTTCTCACCTCCACCATTCTGAAAAGCAAGATATGGGAATCTCCACACATTTCCCAAACCCACGGCATATCCCACCATGGACAGAATAAAATCCATTTTGTTGGACCAGTTCCCCCGGGCCTTATTCTCGTCTCCTCCATCATCATCATCATCATCATCATCATCCTGAAAGAAGAGTCCACTAAGTATTTAGTATGATCGGATGCGGGCTGCATTGTCATATACTTAATTTTTAACTATCATGACAATCATCAAATTATGGGTCATTAAATTATAGAGGTATTAATATTTCATCATTAAAAAAAATCAAAATGCTCCCCCAACAACCGTGACCAGGGAATAAAGGGGTCGCCCTTGGCTCTGATGAAACACCCCAAAGGGAATTGTACCATAAGCAGATTCTTATGTAACATAGTGCATACGTGTTTTAAACGTTTCAGTAACGGTAAAATCCTACGAAAAACTACAAGTTAGTCACAGCGCATTTTTACCTGTCGCCAAAGACGCCAGCGAATAGATTTTGGCTAGGAGGTAACCATAGCAACAGTACGCCGCTCCAAATAACCGTCACTACTTATCGCTAAGTGTAAATTTAAATATCACAATAAAACGCTATATATTTTTTAAAGGATAATAGTGCTTGTGGTGGCAAATGACTGTTTCGCTTGAGTGAGACGAACCTCTAGAAACTCCAACCTTACTATCATCATAATTTTTTTTAATCATTTTTTGTATTTTTTTTTACAAACATAAGTGGGTTAAATAAAGGTCTCGCGAACAAAATTCTACCTGTAACTATCGTAACGGACAAAGCTGCAGCTGGATTCCTTTAGTTTGACAATGCTACTACGACACTTAAAATATCAAGGTTTTGTTTTTGCTCAAGACTCTCCCCGTTTGAAAGCTTTAGCTTAGGGGTGATTGGCTGATTCCACCGGAATGAAACGTTCCTTAACCATGCACTTACCCCGGTCACCGTGCCAGGCAGAACAGATGTATTGCCATCTGTACCCAGGATGATGGTGGTCTGGCTCATGGAGGTCCAGTCACCGGTGGTGTTGTTATGCTCCGCCGCGATCCTTACAGCACTTTGATTGTTAGACATGAAGTCCGACGTGGCTTTACCGGTCGAACCATCCATTTTACCGACGGAATCCTTGCGTACGGCAGAATTAACGGGAGCAAACGTGGGTCCAGGTGCGGCGTTTTTAAACGTCCCGTATGCTTTATTGGCTTCCATTTCGCACGGTTTATTTTCCGAAGGACAAAAAGTTTTCCGTTCGTTTACAGGCGGCGGTTGGGGCACCGGGTTCCCGTTCTGCGGTTTGTTTGTAGTTGTATCTCCAACCGCTCCCCCAGAAGGCTGAGGCGGAATACTGTTTGACGGTTGTCTCAACATTTCCCCGTGCTCAGAAAAATCCTGCAACGTTAAATACACATTAGACAGGATGAGTATAATTAACGTAATAATTAACTGCTTTTTCACACCTACAGTGACCCAACATGGTTACATAAACCGACCCCTAGGCAAAATGTTCACGCTATCATAACTTCTGCAATGTATTTTATGCTAGACCGTTTCTGGACATGTCTGCTCCACTTTTCAGCTCACGGACTGTAACTGTTTGCGTCTTGCTTTAACCATTATAAAAAGATTCTTTAATTTTACGCCTCATTTACCTCCTGTCATTCAACCCCGGCACATCCCCTGGTTTTATGGGCAATATACAAGCTGCCGGGCTCGGCCAAGGTTTTTGCCCCCTGCTGCAGGCACCAGTCCCGGTGTAAGTGTGTAATGCGAACCCGGGAGCAAACATGGAACATTACACCAACAATTACATTGCACCATAGGAGAGCACTACCCTAAAACCCTTTTTAAAATATTCTGCAATCTGCATACCGAAAAAATAACAATAAAATAAATCGTCTGTCATTCTATGAATATAACTACTACTAAGGTTATACATTTGTATTCATTTTTTAAACGTGATAGTTTCTTCTAACATATAGCCTACTGTATAACTAATATTGCAATTGAAAAGACGTAAAAACGCCTGCCATAAAGTTTCAGCACCGTGGATAGCGACACTTCGTTCATTAGTGCACTTACAAATAATACTTTTTTGTTCCCAAGACTGTTCTAAATAATTTGTGAACTGTTCACAGCAAAAACACGCAAAGCGTAAAGTAATGAATGTGCTGTACTTACCATTTGTGCAGAGTCAACAAATGTGGGTTAATAGCAGAAAACAGCTGGGAAGACGGCAGGCAGACTGAGTTTGGCTGTGCGAAGTGCAAAGCTTTCTATATCTCCGTGGGAAAGATCGGGTTTGCGTCAGTGCATGGCAAGGTACCCTACGTATGACATTTTCTTGATAATAGGGCTTTGATAAATCATTGGCCTTCAATTCTGATTTTTAAAGGGGCAACAAGCGAAGACGTGAGCTCGTGACACACAAAGCAGCGCGAGACTATACGTTTGGGGACGGACTGGCTCGTGACTGATTAATAAACTGGTCCCTCAGGACTATGTAAAGATGTTCATCTGACGCACAGAGAAGATTCTGCAGACGCAGGCATCGTGGGGACTGCATAGTTGACCGACACCTATACATATAGATAAATCTAATGACTTTTTTTATCATACAATTTTATTAAAAATAGATAACAGGCCCATTTTATGTTTTTTAATTATGTCTTATCACAGTTAGGTTATTTACACGCAGTGCACAGATCTGCGTCAAGTCTGGCATTTTTTTTATTTATTTTTTATTTAGACAAGGTCATGGAAATATGATTTCTGAACGAAGTTGCTTATATTTTACATGAATGACTATGTCTACAACCAAGCAGTTGACTTTGGAATTTTATGAAACACCATTATAAAAACTTGTGTTGCATATTTTCTATAGTAGGCTATTTGAGTAATGGTAGCCTATATCTCATGGTTCATAGTTCACACGTCAAACGAACGCACAGTTATCCTTGTGCGTCACCGGCACCCATATTGTTCAAGTGTGAAAAGTGGGCGAGGTTTTCAGAGGAGTGGAGGCACTCATTTGTTAAACTTTTACGCAAGACAAAGGAGGAGTGCCTTATACTAAATCATACTTAAGGTAAAGTATATTTGGGGTCGCAGACCATTTCCATTAGCGGATAGGCAGTGAATTTGTTAGGCCTATATTATGAGTTTTTCAACATAAAAGCAGTTTATTTAGCATGAGGCATCACTGACTGCCATTCAAACAACAAGCTTTTGTTTATCTTCCTGGATCCCGTCACTTACACGTTTTAAGCTAATTAAGCTAATATTTGAGGATCTCCCTAGTGGACAGGTCCTGATGTTACACAGCTCCCTGAAAACTTTATTCTGATTGGTTAATCGTGGCATTCAGAGGTGACCTATTTCAAGGCAACCTATCTTTTACAACAGGGTTGTGGAGGGCCAGAGCCCTCCAGAGTTTAGATTCAACTCTAATTAAACACACCTGATCCAACTAATCAAGTCCTTCAGGCTAATTTGAAAACTACATGGTATGTGTGTCGGAGCAGGGTTGGAACAAAACTCTGCAGGGCTCCGGCCCTCCAGGAATTGAGTTTGACACCCCTGTTCTACAATATCGGCGTGCTTCATTTGTCTGCTTTCACTAAGTGAATGCTCGGTCTTTAATGTTTCAAGGCTAAGTTGCTAGACATACGTATGCAAATGACGTCATTGCGCGATGAAGTAAAAGAACCACGGAACGTTTTTTTTATTTTTTTTTTATCGGTTTGTGGAAATAAATAGGTATTTCCATAACTGCTTATCGCCATCTTGCGTCTCTAACCTTTGTAAAACAAAAAGGACTCGGGGGACTTTAGTGTCACTTTTATGGTAAAACATAAAACCATTAAAATTTCATGGAAGCTTTTACTTTATTCACTCAGTCATTATTCAAACAAGTAGGAAATCAGACTTCTTCCAGGCCCTAATATATGAACATTAAGAGGTTTAAAACAAAATCTGACTTTCATTAGTTGCCCAAGTTGTTGACTCAGTGTACGGTCCTGTTAATTGTCACAGAGAGAACAACTTCCAATATGGCTCAATGTACAACCCACGAATGATTGATGTTTGGTAGAAAAACTTTTTAATATGATGTTTCAGTTATTAAACACTGCATTGCTCCAAGTATGTGTTTTCCCCCCAATAAAACAACTTCTTCACTGGAGGCTGTAGGTTTGCTTCCGGCCAGCGATGTCAAGTGTGATCAGCAGCGCTCTGGGGTCCTTTCTGTTCTTATGCACTACGATTTGACCTGGAAGTTCCTCTCCTGCACAAGGAGAAATAGAGAGTGAAAAACGGGATTTGACACAAATCAATCTACATTGTGACATGCCTTCACACCAGCTTGAAATGTAAGATATTTGAGCTTTCCTGGCATGCGTTTACATACAAGAGTAAATATTCACTTTTTATTACCATACAGCTCAGCCACAACTGACACTTTTCTGTCAAAACTCAGAGCTGTGTAATAACAAAAGTGGAAATGTCTACCGCCTCTCACTGAACAAAACTGAAACCATGCAGCTGAGAAGAGAAAGATGCGATTAAAAAGCTGAGAGCGAATCAGGGGAAGATGACATGCCACTTGGCTCCAGATGGCAGAGAAAGCTGCTGCTTGCTACAGTACGACTACAGTAGGAATACAGGCGGCACATTTTATCGGGAAGGCCTGAAGACAATGACGATGATTACTCCAGATAATCACTTTGATTAACTTCACATTTCACTACCAGATGTAAATGAAAGTTTACCCATTTGACAAACAAGCCCTCCGCCCCCCGCCATTTCTTTCTTTGCTGCAGGTTACATGAGATAAAAATATGCTGACTGCAGCATTTTGACATGAGGAGATAGGGAGAAGTCAGATGTGACCGTCACAGCACGCTGCAGCTGTCACATTGGTTTTCTTACTTCTACCATTTACTGTCAAATGATCCCCTTAAAAGAACATTAAAAATTCATTCTTTCACAATTCACTTTTCCTTCCCCTCAAAAAGTTATTTTTGGATGCAAGTACAAGACTGTTGAGGCCTGTTCACACCAAGGATAAAAACTATAAAGTTTAAATAATCTTTCTAATTCTAGTCTATACCACAACTATACGGCCACAGAGGAATATATGGAAGCTTGTTTCCACCATGGAATAAAAAAAATAAAAGGTAATTGCAACGTTTTATCTCAAAAATCAGACTTTTCTTCTCGCAATTCTTAACTTACATATCACAATTCTGACTTCTTTCGCAAAATTGAGGAAAATTGCGAGATAAAAATCAATAATTGCAAGACATAAAGTAAGAACTGCAAGATAAAAAGCCGCAATTACCTTTTTATTTCGTGGCGAAATCAAAAAGTCAGAATTGCAAGATATAAACTCAGAATTCAGAGAAAAAAAGTCAGAATAGCGAGATGTAAACTCAGAATTGTGAGAAATAGAATTCAGAATTTTTGGTGCGTCATGTACTCTCTGAGTAGGTACTACATTTGAATTTGAACTTACTTTGTGACCATTATATGGGTAGTATAAAAGAAATTGGGACGTACTAGATCCACCATGTTGATATGGTCATGTGACCTCTAGCGTCAGTTGTGTTGTTTCACAGCCATTCACAAATCCTCTCCCATGGCCTCATGGGATAGTAAAGTGTCCATTGAATGCACATCTGCGTACTTTTTGCCTACTGTTTTTCGAATACTACGTATTCGGACATACTACTTTTTTGGCATACAATAAATACATTTTTGATTTTGGACACAACATTTATATCACACAATTCTGAGTTTATATCTCACAATTCAGATGGAAATTGTGAGATAAAAAGTCACAAATACCTTGTTTTTTTTTGTTCCATGGCAGAAACGGGCTTCCACACTATACTCGAGCATTTAAAGGGGTAGACGACAAACCTTCAGCATGCGCTAATAAGGTTGAGAACCAACAAAGGTTCTAATACACAACTAACTCAGTTTTCTGCAAAATACTGCAAAAAAAATTGTGCAAAATTCATTATTCATTTGGATCTGAAAACAGTTCTGGTGCAACGCGTGAGCAAAGCATTGGGAGCATTACCAAAAAAAAAAAGAAAAAGAAAAAACAGTTGAAATTGTGGTCATAAAAATGGAATTAACTGGTTTTCCTTAATTATTTTAATAAAAATAGTTAATGGAATCGGAACTGGAATCATTAGGCAAAACTGGAACTGGAAAATGTCTTACGATTGGGTTGGGAATCGTAAGAAATTTTCCAGTTCCAGTTTTACCTAATGATTTTTGCCTACATGCTTATAATACACAGAACGGTCCTTTAGGAACTGCTTGGCAAACAAGCCATGCATTAATATGTCAGGAATAGAAATCATCAAAATATTTGTTCAATAGTGAGAAAGCACAAATAAAAAGCTGAAGCCTATTTTTTTTTTTGTAAAACAATTGATCTAGCAAGAAATCCTTTAATTAAAATCAGCTGTGCAGTGAAAGACTTGACAGATCACATATTGCCTATGAAAAGTAAAAAGCATGCACAGTAGGTTTTCTCTTGACCAGCATGAGCACAAATGATAGAAAGATCTATTAAACTTCCGTGCCCTGCAGAAAATAGCTGTGTGCATCACACTGGTGTGTGTCTGCACTTCATAACAAACACTTTCCCAGTTACTGCTAATGGGCTTTGATACACAGAGGTCTGTAGAGAGAACCAAGAGACACAGAGAGTTAAATTACTTGACCCTACAATTCCTGGTTAAATCTCAGAGTAAAGCAGTTTGGGATGTAGTTACTGCAAGATTTTATTCTGACAGTAGAGGCGAGAAAAAGATTGGCGATCTATGAGAAAGAAGCTGTTGGTGCATGTTAATTAAATGAAGGAGACAAGGCTGCTTCTAGAGCCGTCATACATCACAGTGCCATTTGCATTAAACATGCCAATGCAACCAAGGGTGACAGAGGCTGAAACAAGAAATGGACGAGACAACGTAAAACATCTTGATGAATTCCTTGAAGAAACGTGACTGCTAATCAACAAGCTGGTGTGCAAATGTACAGAACAAGCGTCATAGTCTACGCAAACATTTATTTAAAGGGGTCATATGATGTTGCTAAAAAGAACATTATTTTGTGTATTTGGTGTAATGAAATGTGTTTATGCAGTTTAAGGTTCAAAAAACACATTATTTTCCACATACTGCACATTACTGTTTCTGAAACGAGTAGATTTTTACAAAGCTCATCGGTCTGAAAAGCGAGGTGTGCTCTGATTGGCCAGCTATCCAGTGCGTTGTGATTGGCCGAATACCTCAAGCGTGTGATGGAAATGTTACGCCCCTTACCATATTGTGATGCCCTGTCCGGCCGGAGCGACGAGACAAAAACATGAAAACCCATTATAAACGAGGCATTTGTTGCATCCAGTGGGGACATAATTACGGATTATATGACTTATACTGTCTTTTTACGCGTTGCATCGCGCCGCGTAAACATAAAACCATGTCTGCATTTGTGATCGGAGAAATGACAAACAACAAGTGCTACTCTACACTGCTCAAAACTCGCGTTTGAATCGTCAGTGGCAAATTCTTTAAATATAAAAAAAGTACTTACAGTCTGTGAGTCAGAACAGTCGGCATTGTGGTCTACTCTATCAGGATCAGGAAACAGTCCTCCATAAAATGCGCTGCACACATCTGAATATTTGGGTTGAACTGTTCTGGAACAGTGTTGTAAATACAACTTAACCACTGATTTCTAGTCGTGTCCATTTTTGGAAGACCAAACAAAGTAGTTTCGCTTTCACAACGAAAAACACGGCGGCCTAGCGTGAGTGGAAGCCGCGGCTTAGCGTGAGCTGAGGCCGGGCTAGAGTGAGCAGAGGCAGCGGATTCGACGAAGGAGCGTCCGGAGGGCTTGCGGCAACCACATGTAACGACCCCGGGCTGGACTCCGCTTCGTCCACGGTGAAAGCCGATCCGGCGATCCACAGCGAGAAGTTGATGTATTTCCTCAGCGACCAGCACGGAACAGCTCCAGGCATGACGAAGCAGATATCGTCCTCTTTTGGAAGACCAAACAAAGTAGTTTCGCTTTCACAACGAAACACACAGCGCCTTCACGACATGGCGGCAGCAACAATACTACAGCGAGAATAAAAGTTACGCCTTCTTTCTTTGCGTGAACATTTGGGCGGCGTTATGCAAATCTTCCCACATCGTGACGTAGACATGTGGGGGCGTGTTAGAACGAGCCGTTTTAGGTAGGCGTGGCTGACCCTGAACTTTTATAAAGAATATCTCTTTGGATGTTTGTTTCTTCATCTGAACAGATTTGGAGAAATTTAGCATCACTTGCTCACCAATGGATCCTCTACAGTGAATGTGTGCCGTCAGAATGAGAGTCCAAACAGCTGATAAAAACATCACAATAATCCACAAGTAATCCACACCACTCCAGTCCATCAATTAATGTCTTGTGAAGCAAAAAGCTGCATGTTTGTAATAACATTTTTATCTTTAACCATTAGAAGTCCTCTATCCATAATATTGCTTTTTCCAGTGACAAAGCTGTCTCATCTGAATCAGGAGAAAAATATGCAAAGATTAGGCACTGTTTACAAGCAAACATCCCAAAACAGTTATTATGGATTATTGTATAGAAGTGAAAGTTAAACATTTAAAAATTAAAACGCCTTGATGGATGGCTTTTCCCTCATATGACATTAACTGATGGACTGGAGTGGTGTGGATTACTTGTGGATTAGTGTGATGTTTTTATCAGCTGTTTGGACTCACAGCACCCATTCACTGCAGAGGATCCATTAGTGAGCAAGTGAAGTAATGATACATTTCTCAAATTTGTTCCTATGACGAAACAAATTCATCTGTATCTTGGGTGGCCTGCTGGTCAATTTTCAGTAAATTTTCATTATTTGGGTGAAGTATTCCTTTAATTTAAAGGGAAAGTTCACTTGAAAACGAAACTTCTGTATTGTTTGCTCATCTTAATGTCTCTAAACACCTGTATGACTTAATTTCTTTTATGCAACACAAATTTTGTAGAACTGTTTTTGTCTATTTAATGATTTCATTGAATGAAAAAAGTTGTACCGATTTGGAATGGATTTGGAGTTAAATGATGACAGAATTTTCATTTTTGGGTGAACTATCCCCTTAAAGACTATTTAGATTATTTTTGCAGCATGGACTTATAATTAAACATCAATGTATCTAATGTCCAATCAAAGCAGTTTTCAGGAAAAGCCTTCCCAAACACTGCATCACAAGATACAAAAGCTGCATTATAAAACTTCTCTCTCGCTCTGCAGCGCATAACCTCATAAATCTGTGGCCCCTGTAAAGGAGATGCATAAAACAGGTCTTCGGAATCACCAGCTCACCACGGTGCCCCCGTCTATCAAATAATCGCACCTCCCCCTAAAGGAACCTTGCTCTGACACCTCAAGGACCTTTTCACACTGCAGACGGACTGCACTTCCTGTGAGTTTAAACTACTTTAAAGCACTACAAAAAGCATTGCATGGTTGATTCAATAAGCAGCCTTGTTCTTAAAGTCTAATACCAACATTCAGCTGTAGAATACCTTATTTGGAGAGCAGACATGATGTGCAATACACTTTCTACCCTCAAAATGTCCCAAGACCATTCAACACAGGGTGACCTCTTTTATTCGAGCTCAAAGGTTGGTTACGCATGACAAATGAAGCTTTTCAAGAAAACGTTCTCAATCTTTTCCTTTTAATGATCGGCAAAACCAACTAAATCATGACAAATGAAGGCTGCTTTAATTGATGCGACAGAATCTGAAGGCGTTTTGCATTTTCGTTGAATACTCCCCTCTCATCACACTTCTGAAAAGTAATTACTAAACTAACACAAACAAGAGAAGAAGCTGACAGGAATGCATTTTTCTTCTAACAATAATTTTTCTTTTATGCAAATGACAGCTTGACAACACAAAACACATTACTGTTATTGTTTAGAAAAGAAATCCAATTTAAATTCACAAGTTACAAATCATGTATTAAGTAAAGTGAGAAGAATGTCAAATGTAATTCTTCACATTGTTTGAAAAGATTCCTATTTTTGTAGGATACAATACAGGAATGTACGGTTCTTATCTTTTAATTTTAATCAATAAAACTAAATCATGTCATATCAAGTGCCAAATCAAGTTAAAAATAACTTTTAGATGTGTTTCGCATTTTGCGTCATCTGTGAACGAATCCTTACTCATCCTGTGCTTCCTGCTCACAGTAAGTGCGGTTTGGCAGGTCATGATTAAATGCATTCATTTTTTTTTTATAATAACTGTACTAAATCAATAAGATAAACTAACACCACTACTTTAACACATAAATGCAACTGAAAAATGAGTATAAATTGAACAAAGGCAATTACTAATTATTTTTTTTTATCAACTAATGCCCTTGCTGAATTAAAAAAAAATAAATAAAAAATACTGACCCCAAACATCTGAACAGTAATGTACCATGGTACTGAATAATGACAAAATACCATTTTATAATAAAATGTCATTCTTATACAATGTTAAACAAATTTGTACATGGTACTCCAAATTATACTTCAGTATTATCATGGTACATGCCCAAAAACACATAAAACACTTGTTTCCCCCAAACATGTTTCTCTTATACCAATTTTTCCCATTTCTTTTAATTCACACACATATATGGTCTTGACAACAGCAAAGCAAACAGAAGACGAAAACTCTAAACCCATATGGTGCTAATCCAGAGGCAATGGGAATTTCGCAGAGCTAGGTTAGTGTGCATGTGAGTAAAATATAAACTACAAATAACCTAATCAAGGTTAGTCACTATAAATGTCCAGTGTGAGGGACACTGTTTATAGATTAGGCATTTTCTGGAGCTACTGCAAAATGGTAAAATATGCCAAACAATATAATCACACGACTGTGCCTTCTGATTATAATCTGACAGTGGTATCAGCAATGCAGGAGTAGCATTAGCGGACCTTCAAGTGGACGGCACTCTTATCATTGAACGGCTTCTGCAGGGACTGTCCATGGTAATGCCCGTGGACAGCTACAGTTAGGACACAGTCATTTATAATAGTGTGCTGTATCAGAGAAACTGGCTAAAGCGCCTTCATCCATCTGCGCATCAGATGACATTTCTCCGATTCCCATTATGATAAGACACACTTCATCTGTTAGCACGGCCGGGACACTGTCTCGCCATCTACGGACATACGGAGCCTTGATCTAAAAGTGTAAATGGTCTGCGTTGCTCTTATACCTAAACATGAGGCAATATGATTTTTAATAACTTTCCGGTTCTGATTCACTTCCCTCTCACTGTTTATTTGGGTTTTCTCCCATTATTTGCTTCTTTTAATTAAACAATAGAGTACTGATATTCATGCAATTCTGCAATAGCCGGTTAAAAATAAATAATATGAAGATAAACCAATATTAAAATAAAATGACAAAGAAAGGTACATATAAATGAAGCAGTTTCTGGCTGAGATTAATGATGCTGTTTTATAGTGTTTTCACACTTGAGTCCTCATTACAAGAACCAAACCTCTTTATATGGACAAAAAAGCACTACTACAATTATTATATTTGTATTATATTTGTACAATTAATATAATTTTAGCACCACTGCAATTACATTAATATTATTATTAATAAGTGAATTAACTAATATGAATAAGAAAAATGAATAAAAGCATATATATATATATATACAAATAAACAAATATATAAAATAATAAAAGCAAAAGCCTTTTAAAATTTTTATGTGAATCATATATCATATTTACATATATATCATAATACAAGATCTAATATAAATATAAAACATTTTTTACATTATATACAAAATATGTAATGAATTAAACAAATACATATTTAATTAAAAGTTTTTAATTATACACACACATACACATATATAATGTATTTTTTGTATTATTTTGCTTATTTGCATGATTCAACAAACAGTTTTTAATTAATTAAAAACAGAAAAAATACTTTTTACAGTTTAATTTTCTAAGCTTCAGTGGCGACTAATTGTTATCTAACAAAAAAAAAATCTCTTATTCGTTTGTGCTCTTAAATGCTTTGTAAGCATATCTAAAAATGTGTTCAATGGTAAAAATCTTTTGGGCTCACAAGAAATAATTTTTAGAAATAATCCTTTGGGCTCACTGTTAATAATTTGCATAACCTTATATCATAACCAATGTACACAAAATATTTCTCCATTGCACTATTCCTAACTACTGTACTCACTGTATACACCCCCTCCTTTTTATATCTACTGCTTCTGTCGTTCAGATTATTCATATTTTAATACCCATTCATATTTATTATCAACTGTATATATGTAAATAACCGCTACCAATGCACTTCTGGTTAGATGCTAACTGTATTTCGTTGCCTTGTACTGTAACATTAGCAAAGACAATAAAGTTGAATAATCTAATCTAATCTAAAATAAATAAATTGATTATTGGTTCTATGTGAAAATACCATGTAATCAGATTGCACACAACCTCAACTGGTCATATGATTTTGTGTTAGAACAACATAAAGCCTACTGGTGATGAATGTAAAATAAAACGGAAAAAGAAGACTATTTTTGTTGAGTGCGGATCATGGCTTTATATACTGTGTTAGAACAACATAAAACATAGGGATCATAAAAACAATGCCCCAAAATAAATCTGTCTACAGACTTGATGTGTTGTGTCTTCTCAAAACCCTGTAGGAATGATTCTCAAGACACAATATATATCATCATATATATTTATCAACAGAAAGAACAAACTGCATGGTTTATGTGGACGAGCTCTAGAACTGCTCCATCATGTGTCTATCTCTCAATGACTGACGGATAACCTGTGTCACCGTCTAAGAATCAACTGTCAGGGTAAAGAAAGATAAGATACACCTCCCTGTGACACACATCTTTTTTTGTGTGTTTTAAAGAAAGGTGATGGCTGCATATGTACTTGCCAGATCTCATCACAATTTAAAGACAGACACAAGTACTTGCAAACACTAGTGTGGAGACAGTTAAAACAAGTAGCAAGCATGTGTGAACAGGGTACAAACCGGTTTTGACAGGGATAGGGCTTTCTAGTAAGAACACCGTCTGTTTCCAGTGAGTCTTGGTGCAGTCTGGAGCAGTGGAGAACATGATCTAAAATTAAAACATAGCTGCATTAAAAACCTGTTTATGTTAAGATCAACAGGAAAATGCTCTTGCCCTGCTTGACTTATTTTGAAAAGTGACTGATTAGAAAGAATAGTGACTGATTCTGTAAGTGAGTAAGTGGAAAACTTAATGACTAAAGAGGATTAATGCAAATAAATATTTACAAATAATATTTAGGTAGTTCTTTTTTACATTACAAAAAGATTTACACGTAAAAATCAAATGAGTCGTTTTATTCTACATAAGGAGGGTCGCCCTGTCATGGTGACCGCCAAGATGAGATTACATGACCAAATAATACTCACTTCATCCCAGTAAACCCCTAATTATCGGACACTTTTGATTGCAGAATAAATCAATTACTGGTGATAAACTTGTCTGCCTTTCTGAAAAGCACTACTAACTAAAAACGCTTGCTTTTGTGCGATGATAAATGAACTTTTCCACAACATTCTAATTTATTGAGATGCACCTGTATATGGAAGCTTATTTCTGCCATGGAATAAAAAATAAAAAAGGTAATTGTGACTTTTTCCTCACAATCTCACAATTTAGATTTGTTCCTCTCGCAATTGCAAGATACATAAACTCAAAATTGTGGAATATTAAGTAAAAATTGTGAGATATAAACTCCCAGTTCTGAGAAAAAAAGTCAGAATTGTGAGATAAAAAGTAACAATTAACTTTTTTTTTTTTTTATTCTGTGGCAGAAACAAATGAAACAGAATTGCGAGACATTGAGTTAGAATTCTATGAAAAAAAATCAAAATTGTGAGATGCAAACTCAGAATTCTGAAAAAAGTCAGTATAGTGAAATATAAACTCGCAACTGCAAGAAAAAATGCCAGAATTGTAAGATTATTAAAAAAAAAAAACAATTGCAAGATGTAAAGTCAGAATTCCGAGAAAAACATCTGCATGCGAGATGTAAATTCGCAGGTATGAGTTTATAACTTGCGATTGTGAGATAAAAACTCGCAATTGTGAGAAAAAAAGTCGCAATTACCTTTTTATTTTTTATTCCAGAATAACAAAAATAAGCTTCCATACATCCAGGCTGATAGGTGGCAGTATAAAGTTCAATTAAAAAAATTACTGCAAATTATTTCATTACAAATTCATTACAAGGTGACGATAGAGACTGAATTTAGGGAAACTTGAGAGAAGTGGGAAAACATACTGTGACCTTATCTATAATCTTTATGGGCTGACGATAACAAAATGATCTGTGATTACCGTTAACGGTAAACTGGAATGAAGATGACAGAGACAGAAAATGGGCCAAAATAAAATGCAAAATTAAAGCTGCAGTCCGTAACTTTTTTTTGGTTAAAAATGATTCAAAATCAATATTCCGGTGCGGTGACTGACTGCCACACATACTCTTCAGAACATTAGATTCATCCGCGCTGGAGCCGTGCCGGCACACAACCCACGCAGGGAAGATAATTCCGCAGACAGCTGCAATTGCAGGTTTTCAAACAGAGATGGCGACAAAGAGGCAAAACTTACGGACTGCAGCTTTAAGTTTACCAGGTCAGAAAACAAACCAATTGCTCCTTTAAACCAAATCAGGCCAAAGCAAACATAATTGATGTGGTTATCCACCAGATCATTAACACAAACTCAGATGCTGTGTTCAAACATCAAAAATGGGACAAAAGACACAAGACCCCTCCACATCCACCTGCTTGAATTCCTATTATCAGAACCCAGCGCACGATTGCTCTCCTAGTGGCTGATGGGTTTAGTTTATTTCATTGCCTGTTCCAGTTGGCCACTGGAGGAAGGCAAATGCTTATTTCAGCATTTAGGTATGAGAGGCTGGCGATTGTATTGCGATTGCCTCGGGCCTAAAAGACGGCAAGGCGTGACCGCAATTGCTCGCTGTTAAACAGCACAGCACTATTGCTTACCTTGTTTCCGCAGCTCTTGTCGAAGAAAATGTCAAAATAGCCCACGATGGCCTGGAATGAAATATGAGAGAGAGGTTAGAACATGACATTCTGGTAAACGCTCACACGTGTTCGGGCCAGCAGAAGCAATTAGCAAAACAGGGTAAAAAGAGACATGTTGACAAGTGATTAAAAAAAGCACAGTGTTGTGGAAACGCTCCATATAAAAAAGATAATCATTTTATTAAATAGTCTAGTGATGAATAATAATGCTTTTTTTGTTTGTTTTCTGTGTTAATACACACAAAGTATAAAATACCCAATATTATGCAAATGAAAACTACCCTTTTTTTGTCCCAACCTGCCCCCAATGACAGTGGAGCAACTCTATCAATCTCAGGAGCATACTTGTAGTGGCAATGATGCAGAACTAATAGCTTTTAATCCTGACGCAGCTGACAACACGAGGGTCTGCTCGCTCACACAAAGAGCGAGCAGATCAATGAGAAGAGAAAGAGAGAGAGAGAATACACTGATAAAGAGAAAACGGGGCATAAAAGAGAGGTAAGCAAGACAACAATAGAAAAAAGAAAAAAGAAAAGGGGGTGACTAAATTTTAAGTAAGATGTTTACTGGAGTTTCTCTTTTCTTTAACCAAATTGGGAGCATTTTCAGCTTTCACTCTTCTGAAAACATTTATAAATAAAATAAAATAAAATGAAATAAAATAAATCAGCCATTTACTGGACACCTTACAAATTAAATATTGTTTATAAAGCATCCTTGTGCATTAAATAAGGTTTAAAAATAAAACAAAATAAATAATATAAAATAAAATAAAAAGCTCAAAACAACTTACAAAATACCTTAAAATAATTTATGAAACCATACATTATTTTAAAGTTGCTTCATTAAGTTAAATTATAAATTAACGTTCAGTCCAATTCACTATTTATGACAGTTGAGATCTAGAGATGTCACTTATTTTACATTACATTACATAAAATAAAATCTGCCCACAACTTACAAATTTACATAATACCTTAAAATAACTTGTGAAATCATACATTCTTTTAAAAGCTGCTTTATTAAGTTAAATTATAAATAAATGTTCTGTCCCAGGCTGCTTTGGTAAATAAATGTAGACAGTCTTTAAATCAGCATTATATTATACAAACCTAACATAATTCTCAAATCCAAGCAAATCACTTTTTATCGGAAATGACAGTTGAGATCAAGAGACGTCACTGAAGATGTGACAGAAAAAAAAAAGTCAGGTCAGTGTAATTACAGATTGTAATGAACGTTATCAGACATTATGTGGAGCAATAATTACCAAACCAGGGCTAATTGCTTATTGAAATTCCTTAGGAAGAGTGGATTTGCGAGTCATTTGGCACGCCATGAACTTTGTTGTCACTGAAGACAGCAGCTCATAAATATGATTGATTGGAGACAAACATTTCATAACTTTCTCTTTTGATGACTAACGTTGTTTCCAAGTACAATATTTCCCATATGCAACTGTATGCAATTACAAATAGCAAAAGACAGCAATTCACTTGAAATTAGCAATTTATATTTCTAAAGTATTTATTTAGTCATGAAAGGTGTGAATTGAGGAGGATTTCCCTGAATGAATGGCTGAGCTGTGTCACTGCACACACCTTCTCACAGATGGATACACACACACACACACACACAGAAAACAGAGCGCAGTCACCCTGTGAACTCCCAGGGGACACTGCAGTGATAATGTGAGCCATTCTGCCTGAAGTATCCCAGGGACCTTGTGGGGAGAAATATAGCTCTGGCTTAATGCCTGTGTCTCTCTCTCCCTCCCCTACAAACCGAAGCAGAGCACCTAACTATTAATCCTCCTCTTCTTCTGTTAAAATAGCTTTAAGAGGACAAAGCCACAGCAACATAATAAAGGTTTTAGAACCACATCTACAAACAACTTCTCTTTGGCGTGATTCCTTCATATGGGCTTTGTTTACAATAGGCAATTTTACAAAACAGTATTAAAAACAGAAATGCAAAACAGTGGAAATTAACATGAAATTTGATATATATACAGTATATTTTATATATACAGTTTATAAATACAGTAAATTTAATGTTTATATATACGGTTTATATACAGTATGTTTTTTTTTACTTTTTAAAAGCTGTTTGTCCTTTTAAATAATTAAATACAAATTATTAATTTAAGGATTATACTCAATTATATTAATATATGGTTATATTTTAATATAGCCAATATATATTTTAATTCACTACTGCTGTATTAAAAACATTTTATTTTCAACTATAATCTTCCCATAATTGTATATAATTAATCATAATTGTTATAAAACAGCAAGTGATGTATAATTTTTGCCTTATATTATATATAAAATTTCTGCACCTCCAAAAGCTTTCCTTTAAATAGGTTCATCCTTTTTGTCAGCGCAAATTGCCCAAAAATGTCAACAGAAACAGGGACCCGACAAAAGAGGACGCGCACTAAAAACAAGGGGGTCAGAGCCAAGTAACTCCCTGCCAGAAATAAAACACCCCCGTTAACGTACCAGGGCGGAGTGTAAGAGCAGACACAAAAGCCCGAGTTGCGTGGGGGAAAGGGGGGAAAGGGGGACAAATGGTGGAAACGGAGGCTTTTTATTCTCATCAAAGTGTTCAGCCTTCACACCCGGGAAATGTCGGAGATAAGTGATGCGCGCGAGCTGTTACCCGGCCCAGGAGGAGGCGCACGAGTCTACCTGGAGAACAGGTCGGGGGAAAATTAATAATTATCATCATCGCTAACACCAACGGGGAGCAATTCATCATCAAGCCCTTTCCAGCGCTATCATGTCGGAGCAGAGCGTGGTGCAGCCAAATACAATTATGCGGCGAGCTGCAGAGGAGGGAGAGCTAATGCGCTTTTGATGGGGTTTATTCACGCGTGCGAGGCGTCACACTCGACCACCTCGAGCTCTCCCCCTCCTCCTTCTCCAGCCGGCGTCTCCCCTTATTCTGTGCACATCACACACCAATGCCAACGAAACTCCCGTTCCTGTTATTCTGCTTTTCTGTCGGAGTTTGACGTTCCGCCGCACTGGAAGCAAATATACAGGGTTTAATTAGAGGGGAAGGACATAACTGCAGGAACACTCACAGTCACCTACATAAAGTGAACTGGAGTACAGAGTGAGGCAGAAATGCTGTAGAAAAGTGGTAGTTAAAACAGAACAAATACAGACGTTCTTGCTTCTCTTCTAGGAGATGATTCCAACACTTTTGTCTTAAAAGTAACTAAAAATTACTTCATACTATTTCAGGAAATTTGTAGAAATAAAGCGTCAAAAATTGAGCCTCCCATTATATTCAACAGTGTTAATGAACAATGGAAGAATCACTGGTTATGGTGCTATATGATCTACATTTACAATTTCTGATCTAGATCTACAGTGCACAGCATAAATGAGTACACCCCCTCTGAAACTTAACAAATTCAGCAATTACTCTTTGCTTAGAAGACATGTTATGGTTTTTTAGAGATATAATATTCCAGCAAGTCTGCTTGATCAGTTACCAAAGAAGAATGTTAAAATGATTCAAGAAAATACCATTTTCTTATCAAAGTGATAAAATGTTGTGTTGCAAAAATGAGTACACCCTCCTGAAAGTTTCTAAATAAAACTAAAACATATATATATATTCTGGTGTAAGTTTAAGGCAAGTATTGATCAACAGGTAAGTATGTTGAACCAAAACTGTTAAAGGTTCTCATTCTCTGCATTGTTGGGCATTTTTTTTAACATGACAATGATGATATTCATTCTCCTGAGTTGAAAGTCCTTCATTGGACATGTATTTCACTCAATCTTAATGCTCTTGAGCTGCTGTGAGAGATTCTGTAGAGACGAGCTGAGCAACACTCCCCATTAAAGACCAGGGCATTTAAGGAGGTCATCCTCCAGGAGTTAAACAGCACAGATGTGAAAATGTGTCATGAACTTGTACACTCAGTGCCAAGAAG